TCAATCAACACTAATGTAGATGCTGCTGCGAAAGGACTTGCTGATATAATTAAAGTCACAGATCAGTTGGCTTTAAGACAGTGATTATCCTGGATTGAACTGTCCTAATCAGGTAAGTTCTTAAGAGATTGGGTTCATCCTGAGTACAAGATTCACAGTGAGAGAGAGCCTGGTGAGTCTCCGGCCTTTGAAAGTGGAGAGCTCCTGCAGCAAAGAATACTGGTGGCAGCCCTTCCCCTTCTCCACACTGACAGCTGGTATTCAAACAGGGACTTCAGTCCTACAACTGCCAGAAAGTAAATTCTGCCCACAGGCTCTGTGTAAACTTAGGAGAGGACGCCAACCTCAAGATGAGGGCACAACTTTGTGAAACCCTGAACAGAGAACCCCACCATGCTTGGATTTCTGACTAAGAAGCAGGAAACAAATAAATGGCAGCTGTTTAAAGACAATAAATTTATGGTAATTTAGTATATAGAAATAGAAAATTAATACACAAGCTCAATAGATAGGCACATAACATTTTCCCCCCTGGAATGAATTTATGAGCTGATGTGAAATTACTTGCATGAAATAAAATCTTTCCTTAACTCTTAGTATGTTTTAGTTTGTGATTTTTAGGTGATTCAGTTTTCATGCAATCATATCTCTTTTAGCCATTCAATAGTAGTCCTATTATGTATCAGGTATGCCTTTCTAAGCTGGCTTCAATTTTGACTGAAACAGCCCAAAGCCTCTGTGCTTTGCCTTCCAGAGTCTTTACAAGAGTGAGATCAACCCACTGGAGCATTTTAACTGAAGAAATGACAGAATATGATTCTCAGTAGCAGGACTGGTGGCCACTATGAGGGAGAACAGTCGTGGGCAGCAGGTGAGGGGACAAGGCTAGTGCCACAGTTCTGGAGGGAGAGGTGGTGGGACTAAGGGGAGAAGAGGCCTGGGGGATGACAAGGACAGAGGAAAGGGATGGAGAAGCAGATGAGGAACAGGGTCAGAAGGAAAGAGCATACAGTGTTTTATAGATTTTTAATACAGAGCCTAGCAGGGTGCTCTTTGCTTTTGGTAATTAATACATTTGTGGGGCTGCCTAACAGTTAATTGCTTCCTAATTAGCTTGGTTAAAAAATACCAAGTGTTTCCTCCAAACAATGCACACAGCTTAGATGTGAATAATTCATAAAAACAGGCAGTGCATGCGCTGGAGAAGGGCATTTTAACTGTTAGAGCAAGTGCAGGTTTGAAGTGATTAAAGTCCTACAACTCCTGGCTGAAAGACACAGTAACAAATTGGGATTATTTGTATGAAGAGATGTCCTGCACTCACAAGTACAAACTAAGGGCTATGGAATAAAGACAATTTTAAAATTTAACAACTCAGAGTCCAAGATACATAGTCCAGGAAAGTAAAACTTGGTAGTTTTGTGAGTCTAATTGTAATGAGTTTAGACACATTGCTCTATCGAGGGGCCAACATAACTTCTGTTACAGATTAGATGCCTGATCCTTCAGGGATTCCCCAAATTGTACTACCTACTCTGGTTAATAACCAAGAAGGAAACTGGTCTCTATGACAATCTCTGTCAGGTGTGTTCAGACAGAACTTCTCCAGGTTTATAGGGAAAACCACCAACTCTACACCTCCAGTCCCAGGGCGAGTTCACTCTGGCATCACGTTCCCTGGGGTGAGTTTCCATCTAGAAGAGTCCAGGCAGGAAGGAAAGGAGTGGGAAGCCCAGGTCAGGGAGACAGTTCAGGGAAGAGGCTGGACCGGTTATGCCCTCCATCTTGCTAAGGACTTTGTTAAGGGCTTTCAACACTCCTCCTTTAAAACAGGAAGCTCAGCTGAAAGAGTTTAGTAATACGGTGCAAAATCCTGTGAAACTCCAGCTCCCCCTTGTAAGGACTCCCCTTACCAGGTGTTGGTTCTTGTGAAATTCGGCTTGTGTTAAGGACTCCCTCTCCCCTTCTGAAAGTTCCTTATAAAAGTTTTCCACCCCTGCTTCTGGGGGTCGAGAGACTTTGAGGCATAAGCTCGCTCTCTCGGCCTGGCGGATCAATAAAGGACCCTTGCATAATTTGGACTCAGTGTGCTGGTGGCTTTCTCTATTCTACTCGCTTGGGGTATAACAGACCCAGCTGGGGGGCAGACAGCTCCTAGACCAGGCCTCGGAGACAGCAGACAGCGGGACGAACAATGCTGAGGTGGGCGAAGAAGCGTCAGGGCAAAGTCCCAAGTTCTGGACGTGTGGGTCAGGGTCTCCTTCCTGAGAGTGGTGTCCTGGCCGGGAAGCTCAGTGCTGAGGATTCCCTGTCTCCCCGCAGGTTCACTTCCTCTCCCAGCCGGTGTCAGGTAGATCCTTCTTCCTGGATACTCCTGACGCCGCCCCAATTCTCACTCTCATGAGGTGTCGGTTTCCAGAAAAGCTGATCAGCGTCGCCGAGGTTCCAGTTATTTAGTCTTCGCTGACATAAGCAGACTCAGCGTCTCCTCAGAGTCGAAGGATGGGGTTCACAGGGCTCCGAACCCTCCTCCAGCTGCTCTCGGCCCTGGTCCTGACGGAGGCCTGGGCGGGTGAGTGCGGGGTGGGGAGGGAAACGGCCTCTGCGGGCAGGGCGAAGGGACCGCCCGGCGGGGACGCAGGACCCGGGGAGCCGCGCGGGGAGAGTGTCGTGCCAGGTCTCAGTCCCTCCCGCCCCCAGGCTCCCACTCCCTGCTGTATTTCACCACCTCCGTGTTCCGGCCGGGCCGCGGGGAGCCCCGGTTCATCGCCCTCGGCTACGTGGACGACACGCAGTTGGTGCGGGTCCACAGCGAAGCGGAGAATCCCACGGTGGAGCCGCTGGCGCCGTGGGTGGAACTGGAGTATTTGGAGGGGCTGACACAGTGCGCCAACCACCGAGCTCAGGATGACCGACTGAACCTGCGGTTTCTGCACGACTACTACAACCGGAGCGAGAACGGTGAGTGACTCAGGTCCGGGTTCCAGGCCATGACTCCTCTCCAGCACACAGACCACCCCGCATCGCCTTAGTCTCCGGGTCCGAGAGTCACCGCGAGGCTGCGGGACCCCAGAGACCTTCGACTGCAAAGGCCTCCTGGGACCTTCACTGGTTTCGTCTTCAGTTCCCCGCGGCGGGTCCCTTCCCTGGGAACTGAAGTGGGACTGGTGAGCGAAGCTGACCGCGGGGATGGGGCCAGGGTCTCATACATTCCAGAGCGTGATCGGCTGCGACGTGGGGCCGGACGGGCGTCTCCTCCGCGGGTATCAGCAGCACGCCTACGATGGCGCCGAATACATCTCTCTGAACGAGGACCTGCGGTCCTGGACCGCGGCGGACACTGCAGCTCAGATCACCCAGCGCAAGTGGGAGGCAGCCGGTGTGGCAGAGAGACGGAGGGCCTACCTAGAAGGCGTGTGCATGGAGTGGCTCCGTAGACACCTAGAGAAGGGGAAGGACACGCTGCAGCGCGCGGGTACTAGGGGCGTGGGGCGTCTCCCACATCTGTAAATATCTCCACTCTCCGTCCGCAAGGAGGGGAGGAAAATGGGCCTGAGGATAAAATACCTCCCTCCAACTGGTCCAAAGGAGGAAAACTCCTCGAGTGTCCAGACCAGATCGGACAGTGACTCTGAGGGCCCTCCCTTCCCTCTAGGACAGTTAAGTGACGAAGTCTCCCGGGGAGCAGACATACATACAGTCCCTGAAATACTGGTCCATGGTTCCCTCTGACCTTGCAGCAGCTTTGGGCACCATGACCTTTTCTCTCAGGCCTTGTTCTCCGTCCCACTCTGTTTGGAGGTCTGATTGCAGCCCTTCTGGATCACTCAACCTCCACTCAGGTCAGGACCAGAAGTCCCTGTTCTCCTGTTCAGAGACTGAAACTTTCAAGGAATAGGACCCTTGGGGCCAGGGTGGTGACTGGGTTTTGCACTCCCTTCCCCACCCCAGTTGTCCTGTCCATTCTCAGGTTGTCACATGAGTGCTGCTGGAGTGTCCATGAGGGATGAAAAGTGCCTGAATTTTCTGACTCTTCCCCTCAGATCCCCCAAAGACTCATGTGACCCATCACCCCACCTCTGACCATGAGGCCACCCTGAGGTGCTGGGCCCTGGACTTCTACCCTGCGGAGATCACACTGACCTGGCAGCGGGATGGGGAGGACCAGACCCAGGACATGGACCTTATAGAGACCAGGCCTTCAGGGGATGATAGAACCTTCCAGAAGTGGGTGGCTGTGGTGGTGCCTTCTGGAGAAGAGCAGAGATACACATGCCATGTGCAGCATGAGGGACTAAGGGAGCCCCTCACCCTGAGATGGGGTAAGAAGGAGAGTGGGGGCATCATATCTCTTCTCAGGGAAAGCAGGGGCCCTTCTGGAGCCCTTCAGCAGGGTCAGGACTGAGGCCTGGGGTCAGGCCCCTCACCTTCTTGTCCTTTCCCAGAGTCATCTTCCCAGCCCAGCATTCCCATGGGGGGCATTGTTGCTGGCCTGGTTCTCCTTGGAACTTTGCTCACTGGAGCTGTGGTTGCCACTGTGATGCGGAGGAAGAAGAGCTCAGGTAGGGAAGGGGTGAGTGGCAGAATCTTCATTTTCTTGTTCCACTGGGGGTTTCAACCCTAGGTTGCAGTGTGCCCCACCCCACTGCTGGGAAGTACCATCTGCACACACCTGCTTCCCCAGCCTGGGACCATGTGTGCCAACACTTACTCTTTTGTGTAGCACGTGTGCCAATGAAGGACAGAGTTTTGATGTGGTGATTGTAGTACTGGGGATCTGATCCCCAGTAGTCATAGGTCAGAGAGGAAGGACCTTGCTTAGGACAGACCTCCAAAAGGGCAGTTGATCTACTCTTTCCTTCCCCTGTGATTTCTGATCCTGCCCTGGGTCTTCAATCACAGTTCTGGAAACTCTTCTGAAATCCAAGACCAGGGGTTCCTCTAGGACTTCATGGTCTTGTCTGCTGCCTGGTCTCTTATGGGGAATTTTCTTCCCATAGGTGGAAAAGGAGGGAGCTACACTCAGGCTGCAAGTAAGTATGGGGGTGTGTTTGGTGATCTGTGAGGCCTCTGGAACAGTAGACAGGAGCCCATGGTGGAGTTTCCAGCCACATATTTCCTCCTTTAGCCACATTTTCTGTGGGCTGGGACCAGGTCCTGTTTTGTTCAACCACAGGCAGTGACACTGCCCAGGGATCCGATGGGTCTTTTATTTTATTTATTTATTTATTTATTTATTTTTTGAGACGGAGCCTCAAGCTATCCCCCTGGGTAGAGTACCATGGCATCATGCTCACAACAACCTCCAACTCCTGGGCTTAGGCGATTCTCCTGCCTCAGCCTCCCAAGTAGCTGGGACTACAGGCGCCCGCCACAATGCCTGGCCATTTTTTGGTTGCAGCCATCATTGTTGTTTGGCGGGCCGGGGCAGGGGATTTGAACCCGCCACCTTAGGTGTATGTGGCTGGCGCCTCAGCCGCTTGAGCCACAGGCGCCCAGCCCCGATGGGTCTTTTATAGCTTGTATAGGTGAGACCCAGCTGGTGTGTATAAGGGTGAGGTGGAGCAGAGGGGACACAGCTGAGCTGTTGGGATTCTTTGATGGGACATTCTGAGTGTGTGGTGGGCTGTTCAGAGTGTCACCACTTATAGTGATCTGAATTTGTTCCTCATTTTTTTCTATAGCCTGAGAAAGCTGAGTTGTGGCTGAATGTTCATGCCTCCCCTTTGTGACTTCAAGAGCCTCTGACTTCTCTTTCTGCAAATGCTTCTGAACAACTCTGTATCCCTGTTTGCCTAATGTGAGGAGGTGGGAAGTCTACCTCCCATGTCCACGGTGACCCCTTTTCCCACACTGACTTGTGTCCATTCCTTATTTTTCCTATTGCAGAGAGGTGGGGGTGGGACGTCTCCATCCCTGTCTCAACTTCATGGTGCACTGAGCTGCTTCCCTACTGAAAATAAGAATTTGAGTATAAATTTGTTTTCTTAAATTCTTTCCATGAGAGAGGCAAGAGAGGCAATAAAAGGAATACCTGAGAACCTTCCAGGATCTGTGTGTTTACTGGGCTGCGTCTGCTGCAGGAGGGGATAGGAAAAGGCCAGGAGGAGCCGAGTGTGGATGCGGCCTGTACCCAGTCAGTGCTCAGTCCATCATGGGCTTTATGTGGTCACTCCTTGGCAGAGTTTTCTTCACTGCTCCATTGTCCTTGTCTCTTCAGTAGAACTTATGATTACAGGGGATGACACATGGCCCTGGGCTGCTCCTGTACACAGGAGTCTGTGGTATCAAGAGATAGAGTTTTCACACTGTCCAGCTCTTGCCCTCCTTCTAGGGCACTTTCCTAGATGGCATCCATCTTTTCCACAACCTTTTTATCATTTTATTTTTAATTTTTATGGAGACAGAACAGTTGTCCATATTTACGGGGTACATGTAATATTTTGATGTAAGCATACAATGCATAATGATAAAATCTGGGTATTAGGATATTCATCACTCCAAACATTTATCATTTCTTTTTGTAGGGAACACTCTGAATTAGATTTAGAATAAATCTTCTCATTGTTTTGAAATATATAATAAATCATTGTATATTTACAAAATTTGTTAAATTCTTCTTTTTTTTGTGGCAGTCTTACTTTGTTGCATGGGCTAGAGTTCAGTATCATCATCATAGCTCACTACAACCTCAAACTTCTGAGCTCAAACAGTCCTCCTGCCTCAGCCTCCTCAGTAGCTTAGAATACAGATGCTGACACCACACGCAGATAATTAAAAAAAAATTTTTTTAGAGAGGGGCCTCACTATTGCCCAGGCTGGTCTTGAACTTACAACCTCAAGAGATCTTGCCACAGGCATCAGCCACATCATCCAGCCTATTGTTAACTAATAGATGCTGTATTGTGCTACTGACATTTGGTCTCATTTCTTACATCTAACTGTATTTGTGTACCCATTAACCAACTCCTCTTCAGTTCCCCCTCCGTTCTACCCTTCCCAGCCTCTGGTAACCACCATTCTGTTTCATACCACCATGAAATCAGTTTTTTTAGCTCTCACTTGCTAGAGAGAACACACAACATTTGTCTTCCTGTGCCTGGCTTATTATATAATTAACATATTACGTCCTCTAGTTCTAACCATGGTGTTGCTCCCAACCCTTTTAAAAGGAACCAGATTCTGGAATTAGCAGAGAGGAGGGATCCTGTCACTTCTCATCTTAGGTATATTTTCTCTTCTCTCTGCTATCTTGCCCCTTCCCTGCCCTTAGATCTAGTAATCTTATTACTGACTCCATTCCAAACTCCTGGATTTCTATGGTAGGATCTAAGTTAAATTTATACTTGTTTGCAAAATTGGGCCTATAGTCAAGGATTGTTCTTTCTAAACTATCACTGTGTGCTGTAGAGTGCAGGAGGGTCAGTGTGGAAGGAGAGTGAGGGAGGGCACATAACAGCACTGGGGAGAGAAGCACAGGTGGCATCAATATCAGTGTGAGAGGTCTGCCAGATATAGGACAGACTGTTTTTGCATCTAGGAAACATCACTGAAATAACAGAAAAAATTACAAGCTTTGTGGAGCACATGTTCTAGTGGGAAGGGACAGAGGATAATCTGTGAGTGGAGAAAATAAGCAAAGTGTTTGTGTTAGAAGCTGTTAAGTGCTACTGGGAAAATGACCTAGAGATTCTGTGGGGACCAGGATAGTGGTTATTGTGCTGGGTGGTCAGTGTGAGACTTAATGCAAAGGTGATCTTTGAGGAAAGATTCGAAAGACATGATGCATTATCAGTGAGGATGTCTGGGGAAGTTCTTTCCAGGAGAAGAGAAACTTCAGCCCAAATGCACTGGAGGAAGAATGTGTCTGTGTTCTGGGAAGAGTAGGAGACCAGGAGTGCTGGACAGAGAGTTACCAAGATAAGGTCAGAGGTGGGGCTGGAGCAGGTAGGCCTGGAAGGTGTGGAAAGAGTGTGACCTTTGCAGTGGTTCAGAGGGAGGGTTAGAGGGCAGGTTTTTTTTTTTTTTTAAACAGTCTCACTTTTTTGCCCTTGGTAGGATGCCATGGCATCATACCTCACATCAACCCAAACTCTTGGGCTCAAGTGGTTCTCTTGCCTTAGCCTCCCAAGTAGCTGGGACTACAGGTGACCACCACAATGCCTGGCTAGTTTTAGAGACCAGGTCTTCGTTTTGTTCAGGCTGGTCTTGAACTCCTAAGCTCAAGAAATCCACCCACCTTGGCTTCCCAGAGAGTTAGGATGGCAGGCATGAGCCATTGCACCCAGCCTAGGGAGCAGTTTTGAACAGAAGAGGGACATGGCAGGACTTCTCTTTTAGCAGGGTCTCTGTCTGCTATGCTGAGACCTGAACTGAGAGGCAATGGACAATGGATGATCAGGGATACATCAGGGAAGGAGGGCAGGATTCCAGACTGCAGATACCACTCTGAGAAGTGGGAATAGAGGAAAATGATGGGTTCCGGATATATTTTGAAGATGGACTTTACAGCATCTTCTAATGCATCTGGGGTATGAAGAAGAGGAGTCCAGGAGGACGCCCACAGCTGTGGGCTGTGTGAGCAGAAGGATGGAGTTGCCATTGGTGGAGATGGGAACAATTCTGGGAGGAGTGTGTTTGAGGAAGGGGCTTCCCAGGCATTCAGTGGAGAAGGTGTCCACTAGGAGTGGAAGGGAGGAAGTTGGGGAGGCAGCTGGACAGACATGTCTGGAGTTTAGGAGAAATGTCTGGGCTGGAGAAATAGATTTGGGGGGTGTCACCATATGATTGATATTTAAAGGCTTGGGCATGGATGAGGTCACAAGAGAGTGATGGGCTGTAGAAGAGAATGTGAACAAGGATGAACCCTGGACCTTCAGGGCTGAGGGTGTGATCCTACCACATGCCCAGAGCAGACTGCACAGTTGTGACACCACATCCAGAAGGCATGAAAACCACATAGTTTCAGACTTTATTGTGCGTGGGAATCACCTGGACATGGCGCTGAGACATCGTCAGGAGTTGGGTATGAGACCCTGTGTTCATGACAAGGGTGGTGCTGATGCTGTTGGTCTTCAGATCACACTTTAGAAGCAAGAACACAGACCAGGATCCCCAGGTGTGTGTGCATCAGATTAAACTGCTGGTCTTGTGGGTAATACTCTGAGAGTGGTTCTGGGTTGAGGCCTGAATATTCTTTAGCAATTTAGTGGTCAGTCAAACTGGCAAACTCTGATGCCAGCGATCAGAGAGTGACCAGGGTGGGTCTTGAAACCCTTTTAAAACATCACTTTATCCTTCAGAAAGAAAAAGGAGAACTTACATCATTAATTGTGAGACATGATGTTGGGTGACTTGCATCATTCTCTGTACTGTAGGGTATGGCCAGACAGAGGATTCTGGAAGTGATTCTCAGCTCTGCACAAAGAACATCTCTGAATGCTGTGCCCTGACACTGTTCCCCAGACTGATTTCTCACCCAATTTTTGGAGAAAACAATGGAAGCCAATTATTTCTAATGTACACAAAAAGTAGTATATAGGAGGTTTGACAATTAAGTTCGTGAACTTCAGATGTTCCAAGATGGGTGAATAGAGACATCTCATAAGCTGTTCTCAGTGAATTCAGGGCATGGATTCACTCCCATCTGAATTGTCTGGCCCAGAAACAATATTGTGATGGCACAGTGAGATAGCCTGGGACAGCAGGAGCAAAAAATTATAAGCATGGTGGCAGGCCTATGAAGAAAGCTGGAGCAAGGGAATGCTGTGACCCAGGGACAGAGCCTACAGGGTATAATCCCTGGGGGATTAGGTCTGCAGGAGGTTCTACTCCTCTCCCCACCTACCCCTGCACTCTAGTGGGGGAGGGCAGGGATTAGTCCAACCTCGGCGGGGGGGGCAATTCCTCTAGGAATGGATTGTGTGAAACAAGGTGGAACTGAAGTCTCACAGGATTCTAAGGGCCACAGAAGGCAGGCTTTGGCATGGGGCTGGAGAGAGTGTATGCCACTTCTTTGGGACCAAGCCAGAGGCTTGAACCCCAGCACTTAGGGGAGTAGCACTG